ATTAATGAGGAAGTCGAGGAGGATGGGGACGAGGAGGCAGGAGTACGAGACGGAGGAGGGAGGGGACAGGAGGGCGAGACGCAGGAGAGAGGAGGAGAGAGGGAGAGAGGAGGAGGAGGAGGAGGAGCACGATGATTGAGAAAGGGGAGGACCAGAAGGGGGCGGAGGGAGGGGCTCGAGTAAGAACGGCCAATGCCAAAGGGCCCGAAAGGAACCGCGAGGCGGCGGGAAGGAGGCCCACCTGGCTCGAGGCCTCTGCCAGACTGGTGCCGCGAGCCCCGCCGCGAGGACTCTGCCAGACCGCGCAAGAGGGACCCAATCAGGACAGGTCAGCATGGAATCGGGGAATCGGACCGAATTGGAATTTGCATCGGATCGAAATCGAAATCGAAATCGAAATCGAACTCAAAATCGAATCGAAATCGAAATCGAATCGAAATCGAATGCCGCATCGGCACGGAACCGAAACCCAATGGGACCGGCTGCGCCAGCAGGCGCAGCAGCGCCGTGCGAGCATCTGGCCGCAGCGGCTCGTCGGAATGCCAGGGCCGAAGCGGATCGGGTCGGCCAGCATAGGTATCGACGCTGATTGATCAGATCGAAATGGACCCTGCGCACAGAGGGCCGCACCGCAGCCAACAGGCGCCGAGCCCGAGCTGATGGAGACCCAGACCCCCAACGCCATGATTCTTCACAATCCTGAATTCTGGGCGATGCATTTTTGCTTTCACACCTCGGGGATGGACAGACCCCCCTTTGGTAAAACGTGGTTCAGTGAAAACGACCTCGGAGCCAAACCTGGCGGGCGCAAGCCTGGAAAATGACGGCCGCGGCGCCCTCTCGAGAACCGAAAACGGACAATTCGCTAGTCGACGTGCCACTGTTGGGGGCTCTGTCCACCCCCGAACACCGAGCGTCTTCGCCAGGCTTACGGCCCTGGGACCCCCGCTGAAGGATTAGGTCTGGGGCTCCAGAGGTGTTTTTTTTCGCGCTGTTTGCAACTTTCGGGCCCCCCTATATTGAAGGGGCCCCAGGACACACAAATAAATACACAAATAAAAATGTTTCCCATATTTTCCCATATTTTCTGGGTTTCTGTCTTCCCCCCCACTTCCCATATTTTCCTATATTTTCTGGGGAATCGAGGATTAATTGTGTCTGTGTGTTTTTTCCTCTCCTGATATATGCGGGACGTTAAAACGACCCCAGCCACTGCTTTTCTTTTGTTGCCGCCTTCCAGCCGGCAGAAACAAAGCAGTGGTTGTGGTCATTCTCGTCAAGCTCAGCATGAGGGAAATGACCACGACCACTGCTTCTTTTTCGGCCGGCTGGGCGCAAACAAGAAGCAGTGGCTGTGGTTACTTTCCCGGCCCGCACTATAGGCCTCGAGCCATTCCTGGGAACCAGATTTTCTCATCCTGAATCGTTTCTTGACGGTCCCGGGGCTAGGGGGCCACATGCGAACCCTACCCCTACCCCCCACGATTTCTGAGGGGGAGGGTGGGGCTCACTTCGCTCGGGAGCTCCCGAACGACGTGAGCCCCACCCTCCCCCTCAGAAATCGTGGGGGGTAGGGGTAGGGTTCGCATGTGGCCCCCTACTCGAGCCATTCCTGGGAACCAGATTTTCTCGTCCTGTTCCTTGGCGGCCCCGGGGCGGGGCGAGAGCCTCCAGAGGCCGAGCCCGGCCAACAGCTCGCGTCGTGACTCCTGCACGACGCCGGCGTGTCTCGGGAAGCGGCGCTGGCGAGCGAGCAGCCGAAGGGCGGTGCAGTAGCCCCACGAGCGCCCTCCCTCGAGCGGCGCCGGCAACAAACGGCTCGGAAGCCGAGGCGCCTGAAGCACCACGGCGGTCGCAGCGCAAACTCCGGCACAGCGGGGGCAGGCCACGACCGGGGAGACGTGCGGCCCGAGGTCGGAGAGCTCCAGCTGGCCCGACGAGGCCGCTGGAACAATTACGAGGACAGGTGTGGATTTTGACGCGAACTCCCGCTGCACACGTCCCCTGAAGACTGGACCGTCTGAAGTCCGTCCGTGCGGCCCCGCCAGGAAGCGCCGGCAAACCCGAATGCTGGCGAGCTCGAGTCTTACATACGCCTCCCCGGCACGAGGAAGGGCCTCAGCCCTCAGAAGGCGACGAGCTCGTTCTCCAGAGCGTGCCAACTAGCAAGCATTCTCGTATTCTTAGCAATACTTTGCGTTTCAAGAGCTCTACGAGGGTCCCGGCGGTAATCTGGTTCACGGTTAACCGCTCCCATCGGTAAGCTAGAGGAATGCCGGCGCGGGGTGGAGCGCCACGCACGAATGCATGCAAGTCTTCAGCTGGAACATCGTGTCCTTTAGCCCCGAAGCAGGCTCACGAACGACTGGCAAGCGCACGAAGCAACATCCGAGTCTACCAGGCCAGGTGCACGGCGAAAGGAGCTCAGACCACCGCGGCAGCAGGCCCGCTGGGAAAGTACAGGTGGGAGCGAGGGCAGCTAACTACCAGCCAGACCATCCCAACCCAACCCAGGACCAGAATTCCGTGTTGGGGGGTAGGTACGGGCTTCACGTGTGTTTTGTTCAATGTTCCCCGACCGCCCCCGCCACTGGAAATGGAAGGACGGTTGGAGCCTTCGGGTTGGGTTGGGCTGGTTTGGCGGGCGGTGAGTCGTACCGTTCGCCTCTGACCGAGGCAGCGTGCAACGTGGGCGCATCAGCAAGCCGTCAGACGGACCATGTTGCACAGCCTGGTTTTTTGGGGTTGACCGACAATTTTTCAATGAAAAGACACACGATGATGAAAACTGCCAGCGTCCCAACTGATGGGAAGGGGACTCCACCATACTAACACTGATCGGTGAGACAGAGCAAAAAGAGGGAGAGTGGGTAGCGTGCTTGCCATACATACCCGCTGCCACGATCAACGCTGCCTGAAACCAGGGCGAGGACCATATTGAACAGTCTATCCTTGGGGCGGAGTTTTGGCAGCGTCCAGGGAGGGGCGTGTAAGGGTTCGGATCGTCTTGGCACCGCAATCCGCTGGACCCTCCAGGAGCTCACGAGGGTGCCAGCGTTGCGCAGTTGGAGGCACGCATGGGGGAGCGAGGTAAGGGAAACCAGGAACAAGCGAGGTGTACGCGAAGAGGACGCAGGGAGAGCGGGAGAACAGGAGGAGGCGGAGGAAAATACTGGAGCAGCGGTACTCTACGCAATAAAAGTGCCCAACCGACTAATAGTTCGGAAAACATGGGCTTTATCGAAACTGAGCCCTGGTTTTTTCTGGGGTCCATCCTGGCTATTTTTCATGCCGCGTCCAACCGTGGCGACGTCGTCGTCGATGTCGACGTTCTCTAGAAACGCCCCCAAACCACCAAGACGAAGACCCCGTCGTCGTCGTCGTCGTCGTCGTCGCCGCCGTCGATATGGATTGAACCGACCCATGGCCCAAGACTGGCCGGGCCACGTCCGAGCGATGCCTATAGTGAGCCGGTGATGCATCGTCGATGGGTCGGCGAGGCACAATCAGAAACCCTAATGAGGGCGCGCGACTTTGCTCTGGCTACCCTTGCGTCCTTGCTCTTCCTTGCCCTTGCGTCCTTGAGGTTGTCGTCGTCCGCCGCCTCAAAAATCCCGACGTCGGCTTCCAAGGGTCTTGCGTCCTTCCCCCGCGTCCTTCTTAGAGTCTTTGACTGTAGCCCCGCGGCGAGTGGGCGACCGCGGGTCGACGCTGCCGCCCCCCCCCCAGGACGCGAGCTCCCCCACCGACCAGCCACAACTGGGGGAGCTGTGGTCCTTACCCCCCTGGGGGATCCTCGCCTCGACGATCTCTCGAGAGGGGTGTCGAAATCGATGGGTCCCCCAGGGGGGTAAGTATCACGGCTCCCCCAGTTGTGGCTGGCCTGCCCCGTCCCTTCTGTAGAGGCCTCCTATAGATGGGGTCGAGGCAGATCGGGCCAGAGGGTCGCGCCGCATCGGCGAGGCATCGGCGATGCATCGGCGGTGCCTCGGCGATACACCGGCGATGCATCGTCAACGTCGGCAATGCATCGGCGACGTCGACGTGCAGCAAATTGGGCTGCACATCGAGCCGCATCGGCGATGCATCGGCGATGCGGCGCGGCACCGCGGAACATTTGCAACGTCCCGGGGTCCCGAATTCAAAGGACGCCCTAGAGACCCCATCTTCCTGCAGCATGTTTCGGTCTGGATCGGTCTGTGAGGTTTCTGGGGCCCCGCGCCCAGCGAAAACGCGCACCGCGGACAGAATCGCAACGTCCAGAGCTCAAAGAGAGTCACTCCCGACGAAGAGAGCCACTCTTCCGTATGTATGGAGGCCTCCTGTAGATGGGCCCGAGAAGACGGGGTCGGAGGATCGCACCGCATCGCCGATGCATCGGCGTCGCGGGTGCGGAGAGACAGTTCCACTCCACACCGAGCCGCATCTGCGATGCATCAGCGATGCGGCGTGACCCTCCGACCCCATCCACTTCGACCTCAGGTCTCGGAGTGTTTAAATGCTTTTGGGATGACCCTAGCCCCGGGGTGGTTTCTTGGGGGAGGGGGGCTGTGGTCCGGGAGGGGGGGGGGGCCTGCGGTCCGCGGGGGTGAGGGGGATGTAGTGCGGGGAGTCCAGGGGGGTCCCAGTCCAGTAGTCAGGGATGGGGGGGCCCTTGTAGTCTCGGAGGGGGGGGGGTGGGGCTGAAGGGGACGGCGCGAACGTCCGCCGTTGGCACATCACGGGCAATCCTCAGCGCCTGTGGGAGGGTCCCTGTAGCCCACGGGGGGGGGAGATGCCTGTAGTCAGCGGGGGGGAGGGGCGGTCCCTTGCAGTCAGCGGGGGGGGGAGCCCCTGTGCTCGGGAGGGAAGCCCTCGCACCCTTCCGGAGCAGGGGGGGCCCCCTGCAGGCCAGGAAGCAGGCAGGGGGGGGGGGCCTGGCAGCCCGGGAGGCCCCGGCAGACCGGGGGCCCAACACCGTCGAGGTATACTCTGAGCAGTCGAGCCGAGGGGCGAGGGTCCGAGCCCACCAGCGAGATCACCAGGAACACGTCCGCGCCCACCGCCTCGCCCGAGCGGCCCGCCGGGCGAGGCGGGGCGCGGGGCCGCGACGGGCGAGGAGGAGTGGGTGGATTTTGCTGGGAGGTGGGGTCTCCTTCGTCGTCGTCGTCGTCGTCGTCGTCCTCCTCCTCCTCCTCCTCCTCCGTCTCCTCCTTCCGCCTCCTCCTCTCTCTGGCAGGACCGGCCGTGGCCGTCGGTCTCCGACGCCGCCTGGCTCGCTCGGCCTCGAGCGACCTCCGCGGAGCCACGGGCGCAGAGCCGATTGGCCGAGCCTGGGCCGCCGGTGGCCCTCACGATCTCGAGCACCCGCGGCAGCGCCGCCGCCGCGTTGGCGCCCTGTGGCTCAGAGACTTCGGCGCCCGCGTGCTGCTCTCTCGGGCCCCAGAGGGCCCGCGCCGTGGGCCCATCTCGTAGCCAGGGTAGTCCGGCTCGCCCCGTAACCTGGCAGCGCGCTTGCAGCAATTGGTGTGCTCGGCCTTTGTTTTGCTGCTCGCCTCGACTCAGGCGGAAGCGTAGCCAGGGCCTCCCCCAATCCATCCGGCCCAACATGCGACCACCTGCTCTGGGGGCCTTCCACACAAAAGTGATGCCGAGCTCAGAACTCCTTCTCATGGGGTGGGTGGGATCCGTGGAAGGCCCCCCGCTGGGGGCAACTCGTCTTCGGCCCCCCCGCCCCCCCCCTCCATACCCCCAGGCGCGCCCTCAAGCGCGGTGGCGGGCTCGAGCAGCGCAACTCAATAATTGTTTTTCCAAACCTCCACACAGAAAACATCTTCCCTCCGCCAGGCTGGTGAGATAGCTGCACCTTCCCGTTATCGGACGGATGTTATACCACAGCGGAGGCTTTGGGGCTACGTCGAGCAAGCTTTCCGGACACTCTGCTCACGGCGCACTTCGCATGCGCGTGGGGAATCTCAACTGGGAGCAAAGCCGGTGTTGCCACTTCTTCCAGCGCTCCGCCGATACTTTTGCTGGGGCAATGCCCATTCGGCCATGGCTCACCAGATGACCTGACAAGGCCTTCCCCGAACAACACCCAACTGAAAAGCAAACGGAATCCATGACTACCTCTCCTGCAATGGTTGGAATTTGCCCACCATGGGCGGTGGCGGCGCGCGCGTCGACAAAACAGCCAGTGTGCTACAACCCACAAGGAGTGGGTGATGGAGGGGCAGAAGCCAGCATCAGCATAAACTTTCAGAGCTCCGCTCGGATGTCTTGGATCGGCGCTGGACCTCCCCCCCTGGCGCGCCAATCCGAGAAATCCGCGCGGAGCTCCGAAGGTTTAGGCTTACGCAGACTTGTCTTCTTCGAGGTGAGGCGAAACGGTCGGCCAGCCTGGAGCGAAACGTAGTAAAGCCTGCTGGCGCGCGAGGCCGACCGCTAACGCAACGTGGCCCCGTGGGCCTGAGCGACTGGCGCCAAAGCGGCTCTCAACCGGGCGGCGCAAGGTCCCGGCCGACGCACGGCCCGATGGTTGCGACGGTGGGATACCTCACGGCGTGAGCTGCCTCCGTGCAGGGCGCCCAGTTCGCGTCGACGTAGAAACCAAGAAGCCACGCATGCGCAGTAGCGCAGCATCCCTGCGGTACATACTGTGCATGCAGCGCAGCATCCCTGCGGTGCATACTGTGCATGCTCGCTGGGCTTCGAGCTAACATTGCAGCTCGCTCCCACTCCTCCTCCTCCTCCTTCTTCTCCGGCTTCTTCTCATTTTTTTGTCTCTCTCTCTCTCTCTCTCTTCTTCTTCTTTTTCTTCTTCTCCTTCTTCTTATCCTTACTATTCTCGTCGTAATCCTCGTCCTCGTCGTCGTCGTTCTCCTCCCCCTCCAACCTGAGGAGGCACCCGTGCCTTCGGGGGGAACTGGCTCATGGGGGGGGTGGGGGGGGAAACACCGAGCCGGCTTCGGCGACACCTCGCCGACGGATCCGCCGTCGGCCCAGGATGGCGGATCCGGGTGAGGGAAGCGGGCCCCTGTCGGCGATGGCTGGGCCCCTGGGGGGGCCGATGCGCCCCCCCACCCTTGAGCCTATCGACCCCTATCCTTGCCTCTGATGCCCCTCACTGGCTAGCATTGGCGCCTCGCGCAGGCGGCCCCCCAGAGGTAGCTCTGGCTGCCCCCGCCATGCCCACGGCAGTTCCGGGCGGCCTCCACACCCCGACTCCAGCACGCAGAGCACCCCAGGAGGCGACGCCCGAAGCGACGCTGGGTTATGTAGGGCCAGGGAACAAAAGCACATTCAGGTCAGCTCAGCACAAGGCTCCGAAGGGGTTGCTTGAATGCCACGGGACACGCCCGAGCACTGACCGGACCAGTCAGCCGTGCGACTGCCGCCTCAGGGCCACAATGAGTCAGGTCAATCTCAGGGATCTGTGGAGGACTGCAAAGGTTGACGTCAAATGTCTCTCGAGATCCGACGTCGCGAACAAACATTCAACATCGTGTGAAATGATGACCGGTGCCCGTGTACTCTCACTATCTGCAACGCTGGTCGAACCAGATCGATCCGTGAGGGTCCCAGGGCCCGAATCTCCAGGCGACGGCCAGATTTCAGTGCATGTGTGCGGCCCTGAGCCCTTCCACTCCCAGACCTCCTACGTCTTTTTTTCTTTCGATGCGGGTCCCTAGAACTCTGGACCGCTTCCCGGGGACGATGTTTTCTCCCCAGATCGTTTTTGAACGTCCCAGGGCCCAGCGAAGGCCCCTAGACGCGAAGGCGACGAGAAACCTCCGTTCCTGTTTTTCTAAACCATCCTGTGATGTTGGGCCGTCGTTTTGAAGAGACAGCGCCTCGCGCTCCTCGCTCTCCTCTCCTGCCGTCCCCCTCCTCCCATCGCTGCCTCTGCGCCACTCCGCACCAGTCAACCGTTTCGGCACACCCCTCACGCGTCTCGTGACCCCACAGGGAGCTCCACCCAAGGCCCAAATAGTGCCGCCCGCATGCGCCCCCGCTACCCATTTCGGGACACCCATCACACCTCTCGTGGCCACACAGAGAGCTCCACCAAAGGCCCACATGGTGCCGCCCGCATGCGTTCCTGTCACCCTCTTCGGCGCACCCCTCACACGTTTTGTGGCCCCATTGGGAGCTCCACCCAAGGCCCTAATGGTGCCGCCTCATGCGTGCCCGCCACCATTTCGGCAAACCCCTCACACGCTTCGTGGCCCCATAGGGAGCTCCACCGAAAGCTCAAGTGGTGCCGCCCGCGTGCGTCCCCGCCATCCATTTCGGCACATCCCTCCATGGTGCGTGGCCCCATCGGGGCCCCAACCCAGGCCCAAATGGCGCCGCCACAATGCGTCCCCGCCGCCCACTTCGGCACACCCGTCACACGTTCCGTCGCCCCATAGGGAGCTCCGGCCCAAATGGTGCCGCCCGCATGCGTCCCCGCCACCCATTTCGGCACATCCCGGCCCAAACGGCGCCGCCCGCAAGCGTCACCGCCACTCACATCGGCACACCCCTCACACGTTTCGTGGCCCCATGGGGAGCCCCACCGAAGGTCCCAGCGGCGCAGCCCGCATGCGTTCCCACCACCCATTTCGACACACCCCTCACACGTTCCGTGGCACCATAGGGACTATGGGGTCTTGGGTGGAGTTCCCTGGGGGCCACGAAGCGTGTGAGGAGTAATTGCCACCCAAAGCCCAAATGGTGCCGCCCGCATGCGTCCCCGCCACCCATTTTGGCACACCCGTCACACGCTCCGTGGCCCCATGCGGAGCTCAACCCAACGCTCAACTTGTGCCGCCCGCGTGCGTCCCGGCCACCCATGCCGGCACACCCCGTCACGCGTGGCCCCAGCAGGAGCTCCACCGGAGGACCCAACTGCGCAGTCTGCGTGCGCCCCCGCTGCCCATGTCGGCACACCCCTCGCACCATGCCGGGCCCCACGGTAGGGGAGCCCCACCGAAGGTCCCGGCGGCGCAGCCCGCATGCGTCCGCCCCGCCTCCACTTCGGCAACCCCCTCACACGCCTCGTGGCCCCACAGGGGAGCTCCACCGGAGGTCCCCATGGCGCAGTCCAGAAGCGTCCCCCCGCTCACTTTGGCACGCCCATCCCTTTTTTTTCGTGGCCCCATGGGGAGCTCCACTGAAGGCCCCAGCTGCCCTGTTCGTGTGCGGCCCCCCCGACTTGTTTCGGCACACCCGTCACGCGTTTCGTGGCCCCCGTAGGGAGCTCCACCCAAGACGATACTCACAACGACGGCACTCGCAACTGCAGATGGTTGGGTCCTTCGCCAAGCTAATCTCAATACGTTGGAGGTCTTGGCTCCTCACTGTCTTACAAGCGGCAGATATGACACGGGTTAAATCTGATCCTCTGCATTCCCTCGACGGGTGCTGAAAGTGTGCTCCCAGTTGTCGGCGCCTGCCTGCGCGGCATCAGCGATGAGACCTTGCAACACGCTCTGACATTCTGGCACGCTGGACGAAGACTCCACGATTTCTGCCGACAGCCTGCTGCATACAGAGAAACCCACCCTGGCAGCGAACGTTCGATGCTCGATGCTATCTGCAGGACGCGACTCGAGCAGAACAAGAGATTCGGGGGCTGGAGGCGGCCGCGGAGTCTGAACTGCTTGGGGCCCCAGAGGATCGGCCCAGAGGGGGGATGAAGCCAACTCCGCCAGAAACCGGACCTCTCCCAGGAGGAGGAGGAGGAGGAGGAGGAGGAGGAGGAGGAGGAGGAGGAGGAGGAGGAGGAGGAGGAGGAGGAGAGGAGGAGAGAGGAGGAGGAGGAGGAGGAGGAGGAGGAGGAGGAGGAGGAGGAGGAGGAGGAAGGAGGAGGAGGAGGAGCGAGGAGAGGAGGAGGGGAGGAGGAGGCGGAGGAGGAGGAGGAGGAGGAGGAGGAGGAGGAGGAGGAGGAGGAGGAGGAAGGGGAGGAGGAGGCGGAGGAGCAGAGTCCATCCGGTGCAATTTTTCGTCCGCGGATCCGCTCTTCGAGGTCCCGGGGCCCGGAAGCGGCCCCCGGAGCCCGCAGAAGGCAGAAGCCCTTCCC